CAGAGAGCCAGGAACCAGGACAGGGACAGAAAATGGTGCTCAGTGAGGATGAGACCAATGGAAGGATGAGGAAAGGGGGCGAACAAACGAGGTTTTGTTTCATTTTTATTTTGCTGTTCTGACATTAACTTTTTCTGTGGCCAACGATAACATTCTTTACTCTGTATGATCACACACATATAAAGCAGGCATAAAAATAACTGTAAGTTGTGCTATTTAACTAAGTAATCTTTGCATAATTCTTTAGATCCTCATATGGACTGTTCCTTGACGTGGATGTTTTCTGTATTTATTCTTTGAGTACTCTTCTACAGTAGGATTAGTTCTGCTTCTATCTGTTTGAATATTGTGGAGCAACATGCTCTATAAGTAAAAGAAGTTATAAAGACCTCTATGTACATAATAGAAACAGTATAGATTGGTAATAATATTTCAAAGCATGACAAAAAGCCCTAAACTTGCCAAAAAAATACCTTTTGCTATGTATTAGCACGCAGTATGTAGTGTACTTCTGTGATTATTGTGATTATCTCACATTATCTTGAAATAGTGATACTGAAAGAAAATAATCACAGAATCACAGAATGGTAGGGGTTGGTTCACTAAACATTTGTGACCATAAGACTTGAGTGTTTCAGACTTAAGCACCTCTTAGGTGGAAATCTGTCTGCATTTCACAAACTACGGTCCTGTGATATCGTTTAAGTTCAAACAAATCCGGGTGTAAGATGAGCAGTCACCCAATTTCTAGGACACTGCAAATACCAATAGGTAGAATTCTGTTTTACAAAGGTGGCTCAGTTGTTTGAGGTCCTGTAAGAATACAAAGAAAGAAGTATAAGGCAGGCAATTTTTCACCAATATCTTCTGTGTAATGATGGCTGGCTGTTGATGATTAGGGAAAGAAAAGCACGTGAGCACCCAGTGCTATTTTTCACTAGCATGGCCTCCTTGCTTCCTGAAGTCAGCAGCATAGTTGTGTCAATGTGTTTGTGATACTGACATATTAGACTGGTTGTGTTTAAACTTATTACTTTAATAATCCCAAATGCCACGGTAGTAATCAAAGTATTTTGTAATTTGGAAAAGATTGACCATATGTATTTACTGTTTAATACACAAAAAAGAAACATCTCAATGTATTACCTTTTTCCCTAAAAATATTAATTTTGATCCAGATGGGAAGAGTACGTTTAAATGCAGCAATTTCTGGAAAAAAACTGTTCTTAAATGTGAGATGAATGCGTTTAGTTTGTATTATTTCTTTTTTCCATTGCAGTCTTTGTCATGAGAATGGCTTCATGTTGTACCATTTCCTGTGCTCCTTACAACCTTTGTCACATGAATAAGATATCAGAACGCTAATGACTAATATACAGTACTCTGTGTCTGCTGATACTATACTGTACTACTGTGACCTTTGCAATATTATGTATTCTGATTGGCTGTCCATTTCACCTCTTCCCCACAAGTTAATAAGGCTGTAAAAAGGAGAGAACTTGAAATGGCCAGCCAGTCAAATTACAGAATATTGAAAAGGTCAGAGCAGTACGGCACACAGAAAAAAATTACGGAATATATGAGGCATTAAAATTCTTGTGACAATGATTATAACAAGAATGGAAAAGGATATCCATTTATGTTATTTCAATTTAGTGAACCCCGTAGGATGGTGGACCCAGGACAGCAGTAATTTACGCACCACCGACCCACAGGATCTTTATTCAGCTATTTACAGTAGTACTCAGTAACAGGAATGCATGTCTGCTTGGGAGCCCCCTTCAAAGTGTCCACCCAAAAATGTACTGAACCTTCAAACACAAATACTCCTCAGCTAGGGTACTGTGTGAAGCTTAGCACTTTTAAACAGTGATTTTGAATGGAATATGTGTTTGAGTATCTTTTTAGTGTAAGCATGTTTTATTACTTGACTTTGTTTCAAGTATACATAGTTTTTAAGTATGTATACAGATATTCCTTAGCCCTAATTTCTTCATTTGGACACTATTTTCCTGAAAAACGGAGATACTTTGATCTGGTATAAACTAGGAATAGACTGGGAATAGCACAGCTTTTTGCCAAATACCATGCTTAGCCAAAGTCCCTCAGAAATACTGGGGGAAATATGGAGAGGCTTATGAACAGGAAGGCTAGTAAAAGAACAATACCATCACGGTGCAAAAATATGGAAAGATTAAGGAGCATGAGGAAGACTTTCATGTCTGCAAAGGGTTTAGGGTTTTTTAAGACATTATGGGAGATGGTGGCTCTGAGCCCCCTTCCATTTGACTTTATCTTTTGGTAAGGGTGCTTGCATGTCTGAAGTGTTGAAGGACATGGTGAGCCCGTTCTAGAAGTTTGCTTTCTGCCTCTTTAGTTAGGTTCTTCATGTCAGCTGTGTCTTGAATGGATCTTGCTTGTTGGAGCACTGGTGACTGTTCATGGCAGGAGTTATGAGGCAGAAATGTGGAGAAACGAGGAGGTATTCTGGTAGAAGCCACTTGTCTGAAGTAACGTCTCTTAGGACTTTACCAGTGTCTGAGGAGGCTGCTGTTTAGGTCTGTGGCAGACTCGGTGGTCGGTTAAAGTGGGATCTGTGAGCAGGATGGAGAGAAAAACACACATGAAAAATAGAAAAAGAGAGGCCTCATCCACTTATACTCACAAATAGGGTCCACACTGAAGCAATCTAGGTAGGAATGGCACAGAGCGATATGACAGGGTTATCGCTGTATCACTTTCTGTCGGGCTGAACCTATGTGTCTTCATTTTCCGGCTCACTGAAAGCAAAGTTTAAGCAGTGAGAAGTGGCAAAGCTGCATATTGCAAGTCATCCTCAGCAAGACCAGCATTTTAAACATGTTCTAATATTTTATTTGCCAGTAGCAGTAAGGTGCTTGGCTGGCAACCAGAATTAAACACCTTTTGTCTGTGTAAAATTTGGGTTGAGAAACTTGCAAGTGCTCCTCAACTTTTTATTAGAAGCAATGAAAAATTTTGAACTGCTATGTTGTCTAACTCATTGTAAATGTTCAAGTTCATTTTTGAGCTGAATAAAATGGTTATGTAATTACATACTTCTCCTAATTATTGAGTAATTATATACTTCTTATAATTGCCGAGTAATCACTGCTATAACTAGAATTTAATGTTACAACTAATTGTATAATTACTGTATATTAATGTTGTTATCCAGGCAACTTGGAACAGAGTGTTATCCTTTTAATTCCTTTTCTGTTACTCAGAGCTATATTTTAAAATATATAGTATAGTTAGCCATTGGAAAAAAAAGATTAATAGTGGAACAAAAATATCAGCAGAGGAAGTACATGTTTTCATTCCAGGCTCAAGTGGATCAGAATAAAAATACAGACATGTTAAAAGTTGATTTTTCTCATGAACTGGGCACGTAAATAGCTGTTCAGGAGCCTACTTTTATGCTTGAGGTTTCAATCTATCCTTTGTGCCTTGATCTGTCAACACTGGATTTTAGAACTTTCCTACACTTTGTAGGTGGAACATTTTAAAAATGCATCTTCTTTCACAGCCAGCCAAGTCCTTAAATGTTTTATGTCACTAGGACCTTATGTCAGTTGGCCATTTCTAATGCCTTTATTGTTATTAATAAAACAATAGGTGCATATAACAGTCACATGTTGTCGGGTGGGCGTCACAAATAGTGAGTCGCAAACTGCCTGGTGGTGCACAGAAAAATTGTGACAGATATTGGGAGAAATGTCCTTTGATGGATTGTATCTACTCCTAAATCACACACAAGGACAGTTTCACAAAGAAGCAGAAGGAAGGTTTGATATACAATTTAAGTGATGAGACCAAGTAATGCAAATGCATTTTTCTAGTGCTGGCTAGGTAGCCTGGGTCCATAAGAGTAACCTCAGACAAAATACTTCATTTGAAACTTGCATAAAAACAAGTAAAACGAAAGAGCTGCATTTTAAAAAATTAATTAAAAGAGAGTTTATAGGGGTTTTTTAATTCTATCTTACTTAGATTTTGTAGAGGACTCAGATGTGAATATTCAATCTTCTGCCTGTGACAATGCCTTAATTAATTTAAGATATTTTTAATAGTTATATTCTGTTCAATCTCATTCTCATACCTGTGATCTCAGACTTGTGTGATTCTGCTGGTTTTTTGTAATGCAGAATTTCCATCGATTTCAATGTGAGAGCTCTCCATGCAATGATGGATAGTAGTAATAATATTAATCATTTATATAGCACTTTATATGTTCAAAATATTGGATAATCTTTAACTGAGCTCAGCTTTGCTCTCAGATACGTGAGTGAAATCTTCATTGAGTCCAAAAGAATTGTTACTTGACAAACAATTTTTTTATTTTCCAGTCTTACCAGGTGTTTTGGAAAGGTTTATTTTGTTGTTTTTGTAGGGTAGAAAGGATTGTAAAGGACATGTAGATTGCTGTGGCGTCCTCTGATGATTTCAACTGATAAACTGAGTACTTCAAAACCTTGTATTATCTTTGAGAGGACTGCAGGCCGTGCTGGAAAGCATGTGTTTCATACTGCAATATGACTAGTTCTTATATATGCAATGGAGTTATCTTATAAACTCCGAAGAAATGTTTTTCTAATGAATTTAAGAAGTTTTACCAGTTTTTTGTAGGCAAAAGAATTAACCTTAATGTTTTGAATTTGCAGTTATCACACAAATGTTCTAGAATATGAGTAATTTCTGATAACTGTCTTCTGTTTGCCGTATATAACAGTCACCTTTGCAGCTGCATAGTTGGTTCATTTATTTTTCAAGTTTTACAAGAACCACAAAACTGTTGACAAAAGGAGGAGAAAATGGCATTTAATATTTTGTCTTCCATAAAGGCATTTTTGATGTTATTGGTATCAATGGCAACTTTTCATTTGAGTAAAAATAAGACTTGTTTTGTAAGGACCACGAATTGTAGCAGATGCGAGGTCTAACATTTGTTCTTCTCCCTCCCCACTTTTTTTTCATAACAGCTAATGCTAATTATTCTATTGTAAATGATACGCGGATGTTATGCAGCAGCAATCAATCCAATGTATGGGTACCCGTTAAAGGACTGATTCCATTTTCTAACTACACAGTCCAAGTGAATGCTTCCAACAGCCAGGGCAGCTTGATAAGTGATGCTATAACAATAGTCATGCCTCCAGGAGGTAAGTATGAAAAAATGCTTTTTCTGTTCATGTAACAACTACATAAATGCTCTCTTGAACAAAATGTTATTTATTATTGCAACTGAGGACTTGAAGTTCAGAAGCATATGTTTGCGTTAGTAGTTCTTACTAACAAAATTGTTCTTTTCAGCTTCTAATTTGGCACATTGCTCAATTTAAGAACTAGAGAATGAAAACGGGTAGTTGTATAGATAACATACTATGTAGGCGAGAAGTGCATTATATACTTTGTTTTTTTTCTGTGAATGGTGTTGTATTCCATCATGGATGGCTGATCCAATCTAAGAATACGGAGAGAGTCACCTGCATTTTGTAATCTGTTTTAGAATAAAAGTTGTATTTGCTGACAAAGAGCACTTACTAGATAGACTTAGATAATTTATTTAATAATAGCAATAGAAATAGTTGGAAATATATTGAGCCAGAATCCACAAACTAGTGTAGCTGTAAGAAAGTAAATTGCAGTGTGCTGATTTACAGTGAATAAGGCTATAAGTCACTTTGGATGCTATCTTCATAAAAAATTGAAATAAGAGAATTGAGCAAATGCTGCCTTAACACTGTGCATGTTAGGTTTGTTTGGTTATTTTTTTAAATGAAAGCTTAAATTTACGACTGATGTATATGTGTTCCTTTTGCATTCTCTTTCATGGACATCCTAGTGAATTAGCTTTTGTTGAATAAATGCCAGTAGAAACAACGAATTTAAGGCAGTTTTGAATTCTAAAGAGCCCAACAAAACTTGATCTTGAGAGATGTGTAGGGGTAGACAATGAGCAGGAATAGTGTAAAGTGACATACATATCATTGGAAAAAAAAAAAAAAAAAAAAAAAAAAAAAAAAAAGAAAAAAAAAAGAACAATCAAAATAAATCCATAAACCTTACAGCTCAAAAGCACAATTATACTTGGAACAGTTTGCTTGCAAACAGATGGATTGGTTTTGGGGCCAAACCAACAGAAAGACTTCTGAAATTCTGAAAAGTGAATAAATAAAATGGAGAGTTTGTACAACAGATTACTGAGCAAGAAGGAAAATGTAAATTCCCAGCACATTTTGTAGTATTGCAATCTGATTGACAAATTATACCTAATATTAACAAATATGTATTGTCATATAATAATAAAACCACATCTGAGTTTTACTGCTCACTTAAGACTGAGCAGTAAGACACTGACATGTCTAATCCCAGTGTCACACTTAAATTTCAAAAGAAGAAATAACAAAATTTTGTAGTGAAAATTTTACAAAATAAGAAGGTAAAGGATCTTTAAAGATAGGCAAGGATGTGCACAAGTTTATGACAGCCATTAAGATACACTTTCTTTCATCATTAGATTGTTGTTGATTACAATTAGAAAACTTATAGCTTTGAAATTATCTTTTTTATGACCTTGTGGTACTTTAAGAGCAATACCTCATTGATTAAATAGGTTTTAGTTCATGCTTCCTTTTAGTTAATGATCTGAAAACATATTATCCTGATTTACACATAAAATCATGCTGAAAAGCATGTGGCATTCACTAGGATATGTATGTTTAAGTAGAATTAAATTAGCAGTGAGAGTTATTAAAGAAATCTTCCATACTATTGTCCAGTGGACTGTGATTTGTAGTGAAATGAATAGTAAATGAAGCAGTGCATATGAAAGAAGCACTCTCACACACACGATATTCTCACTATATGTGTACACGCATACAGACACACATGTGTATGGCTAGGACAATGTGTGTTTACTTTACTGTGATGTTTATTATAATGACTCTTTGAATGCCATAAAATTCCATTGCATGTTAAATTATGAGTATAATGATAATTTTACCCGTGGCTATATTCAGTGTCTTCACTTACAAACACTTTCTAAATCATTAAATGAAATCTAGATCCTACCAAAGTCAGAAGGAATTTTATTTTTTACTTCAGTGGCCAAGATTTCACTTCGACAGAAGTTTTGTTTGATCAAAGAGTGAAAGAGGTCTCATTATATACAAAATCACATCCTTTTAACGAGTGTTAAAATGTAGCATTCTCTTTTCAAAGATAACAAAAAAAGCTGTTTCAGAAATATGCGTTGTGGTTAATACTTTATGGAGCTTTATGGAAGGTTGTATAAGAGGGATGGTGATAGAAGACAAAGGAGAATTCCATTCTGAAGTTACTGCAGACCACTGTTTTTCAATTATGATACAAATTTTCTTACAACATACATTTCTTTTGTTTCATTTTTTATTTAAACTGTATTGCACATAATATACAGCACACCTAATAGCTGGTGTTACCTGATTGAATATATCTTAATTTCTCATCAAGCTGATTTGCCATGCTTAAAGTCAATGTTTAAAAAAAAATCTTAGAAATAAGGAATATATTTTATCTAAGCTCTTGACTAAAATTGCAGTGGAGGTTCAAGAGTTCTTGGAAAGATTAAAAAAAATAAAAACTGAATCCAAATGTTAATCCATAAATATGAAACTTTCTTTTGACCCTTACCCTGTAGTGGTCTGGAGTTACTAATGGGGTTAGGATTTCAACTCTTAATGGGACTTCATGCATTAGTGTTTTGTATGCATGAAATTCAGCATTCAGTTTAATAAGTGGTTGACATTGGTGATGTCCCTTAATTTGCTTAAATCTAATTGGCTCTTTTATCAGTCAAACCTGTATGGATTGGCAATTGATCAGAAAGGGTCAGCCATGACTGTGCATGTACTTAAATGCTGGAACCAACAGTTAAAGTCACTGTTGCATAATAAGAAGCTGAAACCATGAGAACAAATGATCTTCAGAGTAGATAGGCAAAAGAAAGCAGAGAAGTTTTTCAGGATGTTCAAGTTCAGAACAAAGGCATTATGGAGTATATAAATTTTAAATACACTGCTTTTTGCCTCAAGACTTAAAGCTTTTTTTTTCCAGATGAACTGAAATCTTGTCTGAAACTGTCTTTGTTACATCAAAGAACTGCATAGAAGGCTAAAAGAGATGGAGGAAGCATAAAAGGGCATAGTTTAAAATGATTAGTGACAAATTTCATACCACAGAGGTAGAAGTAAATTATTTGAGTTTTATATTTTTTCCAAAAAGAATAGATTTGTTCTATTTATCTTGTCCTAAACTGCTTTGGTAGAAGTTGTAAAAAATAATTTACTAGCCAATGCTTCATATTAAATTGAGGATGCCAACCAGTAAAAGATCTGGAGAACAAATTGTTTTAGAATTAATTCAATTAGGTAAATGAATTGAAATGATACAGTGGATGTAAAACTGCAAAAATCTGGGAGAAAATCTTCTGTACAGAGTCCTTGGTTATATATTTTTCTTCTTAATGAGTGCTATTTCTGATGCAGTGGCGCATAGCGGACCTCATTAATTTGGGATTGCTTTGTGATAAGTAAGGGTAAGGTAACAGAAAAGAAAGTTGCAATCACTACTGGTAATAGCTTGTACTCTGGTTAAATCCATTTGTTCCCTGCCTTCAACCTCAAAGACCCTAGTGTGGAAGGGAAGGAGAAGTCCTGTATGCAGAAACGAAGAAGATAGATCATGTTGAAAAAATAGGTGCAAAGAGAGACAGCAGAGAGACACAGGCTGCTGATCAGATGAGAAGCAGGAAGGTGGATGCTCAAATCATCACCTCCAAAGCTCGGTTTTCTGGACTAGATTGCCAAGTAATGACGAGAGGTATGAAGCTTGTAATGGGTGGTAATTCTGTATCATATGGCAGAGCTGTCTCTGTGTGGTTACTTGTGTTGGGGATTACAAATGATTAAATTGGTGCTGATGTGTCTATAGAAAAGAGGCTCAAAGAATTGATATATATTCCGTATGTAATACATAAAAGGGAAGAAAATCTGAAAAAAATATTTGCCGAAGCAGTGAAGTGTCTCTTCAATCTCTGCCATAATTTATGGAGCATGTTGTTCTTTTATATGCTCTGTCTGTGATTTGCATGGCATAGGAATGGCTAGCTGTGAAACATGTTAGATTTTGTCTTGGACTCTAAAGCACCTGCCCTTTGCTGGTACCTTGTTTGCCTATGGGATGCTGTATGTCTCTGCCTACAAGCTTGGACTAGTTCTCTGCCACAAACAGTGAGCATATATACTTGTAGCTGTTGGTGTTTGTTGAACATCTACAGAGGATGGTGTCCTGCAGCCAGAGGATTTCAGTCGTTGTTAGTTTAGGTAGCAACACCTCTGAGACTGGATATTGAACCACATCACAGGATCATTGATCTAATTGTGTAAACAAATAAGAATTACATCATATAACGTATATTCATATCTGAAAGCACTTGTTCATGCAAATTGATCACTGAATCCAACAGGCCTCCTTAGGTGAATTAATATTCAGTAAACAAAGCAAACTGATGCTGTTAGGCCAGAATTACTTAGGTAGAAAAATTAAATCTGAATGTGCTAGAATTTTCCCTGTGACACAGGTTTGTTTTTCCATGATGCTCAGTATCACATTAAGAGTCACACCATAAAACTTCTTTTGAGAGAATCTCTTTTACTTTAAAGTTCACATATTTATGAGACATTAGTTGTTTCTCTCTTTCTCTTGTTTCTCTCTTTCTCTTGTTTCTTTTTCCTGTAGACTTAAACTAAAATCCAGCAATATTCTTTTTGTTCTATATCTTCTGTTTCTTTTTCATTTTTTTTCTCTTACATTCATGTCACTTGTAGTTTAGAAAAAAAAGGCTTCTGGCATCATTCTATTTTATTCATTGTGAAAAAATTGTATTAAAAAAATTCCAAATTCTCAAACATTTGCATGATATCTCTATGAGAGGAATAATATCATCTCCGAATTTTATGAAGAACAGGAAATGTTTTAAACAAAACTGTTGCAAGCAAGTCGACAATACTTCTGTCATATATAATACTTCTGCAATACTAAACTGGTTGTCATTTTCATTAGTTCTGCTTTCTTCTTTTATTCCCCTTTACCAGTCTGTTCAGCACATCTTTCAATGAGC